GAGGGACTTTTTCCAAGGGCATGGAGTGATGGGATGAAGGAGAATGGCTTCAAACTGGAAAAGTGGAGATTTAGATGAGATATGAGGAAGAAATTCTTTGCTGTGCGGGTGGTGAGCCCCTGGGGCAGGTTGCCCCGAGAAGCTGTGGCTGCCCCATCCCTGGAGGTGTTCAAGGCCAGGTTGGACGGGGCTTGGAGCAACCTGGGCTGGGGGGAGGTGGCCCTGCCCAGGGCAGGGCGGTGGAACCAGATGGTCTTCAAGGTCCCTTCCAACCCAAACCATTCCATGACTCCATGGGGATCGTTGGCGTGTAGTCACGTCCCGGCGCAGCCCAAGTCCCCGCGGGACATCTCTCTCCGCGTTTCCGCGGGTTTGAGGTCGGTCGGGAGCGAGAGCGGATTCGCAGATGTGGTTTTTAATCGGGAAAAGAAGTTGTTGAATAAATTCCAGCGCCGGCAGAGCTTTCCCGTAGCAAGCGCGTCTTCGCCGCTCTCTCCCAACCCTCTCTGCTGGGAAAACAACGCTGCCGTGGCTTTCTGCAACATCCTTAAGCTTCCCCCTCCCCCCAAAAAAATCCTTCCAAAATCCCAGGGGAAGGAAAAGAGGAAGCAAAGACAAGGATTTTTCGCAATTTGGACGCTTACGGGCCGGTGGCACCACCGCCGCGATTTCCCCCGGCGCGAAAACGGCGGCAAAGAACGGGAATCCTCTCGCTTCATCGAGACCATTTCTGCCCTCCAGCGAGAACGCGGACGAACCCAAAATCCTGTTTTCTCCGAAATAAGCTCGGCAAAGAGGTCAGCGAGTTTGGCATCTGGTCCTCGGTGGCGGTGGCGGCTTTTAAGAATAAACCCAACTCTATTCGAAGACGACGGATCCGAATTAGAATTCGAATTCGGATTCGAATTAGAATTCAAATTTGGATAAACCCAATTCTATTCGAAGACGACGGATAAACACCGTCTAATAAAACTCCTCTAAATAAACTCCTCTTCACGTCCCGACTGCTTTTGAGCTACTAATTAAGAGTTTAAAAGTCCCTCGCTCTCCTAACGGCGGAAAAATCCCTAATTTTTAACACGCGGCTGTACTGGAAGATGCTTTGTGGAAGGCGGGCTTGTCGTCGGCGCGCTCCGCGAACCGCCCGAGAGTTTAGAGAATTCTGCGTATTTTAGGAGGGATTTTTTTTTGGGGGGGGAAAAGAAACCAAACAACCCCCATAAAACTTCGCAAGGTCCCATCGATCAAATCTACTCCATCTTTCGTGCCGAAACCCGGAGGAGAAGACAGAGTTTTCAGTTTTAAAAGGAATTTTTTCAGCTTTTAGAGGAAGTTTTCAGCTTTTAGAGGAAGTTTTCAGCTTTTAGAGGAAGTTTTCAGCTTTTAGAGGAAGTTTTCAGCTTTTAGAGGAAGTTTTCAGCTTTTAGAGGAAGTTTTCAGCTTTTAGAGGAAGTTTTCAGCTTTTAGAGGAAGTTTTCAGCTTTTAGAGGAATTTTTCAGTTTTAAAAGGAATTATTTCAGCTTTTAGAGGAATTTTTCAGCTTTTAGAGGAATTTTTAGCTTTTAGAGGAATTTTTCAGTTTTAAAAGGAATTATTTCAGCTTTTAGAGGAATTTTTCCAGCTGTTAGAGGAATTTTTCAGTTTTAAAAGGAATTTTTCCAGCTGTTAGAGGAACTTTTCCAGCTGTTAGAGGAACTTTTCCGTTTAAAAGGAATTATTTCAGCTTTTAGAGGGATTTTTCCAGCTGTTAGAGGAATTTTTCAGTTTTAAAAGGAATTTTTCCAGCTGTTAGAGGAACTTTTCCGTTTAAAAGGAATTATTTCAGCTTTTAGAGGGATTTTTCAGCTTTTAGAGGGATTTTTCCAGCTGTTAGAGGGATTTTTCCAGCTGTTAGAGGAATTTTTTCAGCTGTTAGAGGAATTTTTTCAGCTTTTAGAGGATTTTTTCAGCTGTTGGAGGAATTTTTTCAGCTGTTGGAGGAACTTTTCAGCTGTTGGAGGAATTCTTTTAGCTTTTAGAGGGGCTTTTCAGCTTTAAAAGGAATTATTTCAGCTTTTAGAGGAATTCTTTAGCTTTTAGAGGATTTTTTTAGCTGTTAGAGGAATTTTTCCAGCCTTGAGAGGAATTTTTTCGCTTTTAGAGGAATTTTTTCAGCTGTAGAGGAATTCTTTAGCTTTTAGAGGAATTCTTTCAGCTTTTAGAGGGATTTTTCAGCTGTTAGAGGGATTCTTTAGCTTTTACAGGAATTTTTTCAGCTTTTAGAAGATTTTTCAGCTGTTAGAGGGATTCTTTAGCTTTTAGAGGATTTTTTTCAGCTTTTAGAGGATTTTTTTCAGCTTTTAGAGGAATTCTTTCAGCTTTTAGAGGAATTTTTTGGCGTTTATTTGCAGTCCAAAGCCCGCGTTGCGTCGCTAACCCCACGACGCGCAGCGCCGAGGACTCCCCACCTTCCAGAACCTCCTTTTCCAGCGTAGGAAATACCGGATTGACTCGGGATGACCCCACAAATTAAAGAAACGAAAAAAAGAAAGCGGGTAAATCCACCACGCCGCCTTTCGTTTTCCGAAACGCTCCGTGTTACCGCGTCCCTCTTCTCCCTCCTCCTTTCCTCCACTCATCTTTTTTTTTTTTTTTTCCAAAAGGGACAAACTTCAGGCAGGTGGAAAAGAGAAAAAAAACAAAAAAACCCCCAGATTATGAAGAGATGCGGGAGTTTGGTCGGCTCTCACGATCCCCGCGGCGGATTTTATCCGCGTTTTGAGGCTCCTTTTGTTCGCCAAACGCGGAAGACGGGGAGAGACGGGGCCGCAAAACTTCTCGGCGCTTCTCAGGGAACGGGAGTCACGCGTAGCGCGGGTTCAACCGCGCGTATTTATAATTACCATCACCGCGTATTTATAATTACAATCAGAAGTCGGGAATATCCTCCCCTCCCGCGCCGCATCCATCCCCGGGGGGAGGGAAACACATTCCCCCCTCGTAAATCACTTACTGCGCGTCTTCCGACGATTCCTGCTTTATCTTTAACGTTCTTTTCGTGGGAGGCATTTCATCTGAAAGGTAAAATTCCAACACATAATTATATTTGAGATATAGTGTTCCTGAAGCTTTTTTTTTTTTTTTCTTCTTGTTTTAAAATAAAGGCTGAAATTAAATAAAAAGAAAAATAAATCAGTGCTGCTCCCTGAGCCGGGCAGTTCATCAGAGCTCCGCACAAAGTCCGAAATCCTCCCTAATGGAATCGTATTTTTATTCCTTGGAAGAGATGTCGTCAGTTAAGATCCGAATCTACGTCTGCGAGCGCAAAGTGTGGGAATAGACGTAAAACTGCTCAGAGGAGCGGGTGTTTTCTACCAGGAAGGTGGGACCTTTGCTCTCTCTGACAAACTTCAACGAGCCACAGGCAACGACCGAATCTCCAAATTAATTGATGTATCGATTCTTACGCAGAGACGCCAATAATTCGGGCAAGGAAAGCAGGTGGAGGATGTTTGGTTTAGGTCTCGCTCTTATTTTCTATTTTAAAAAAGCATAGAATGGTTTGGGTTGGAAGGGACCTTAAAGATCATCGAGTTCCAACCCCCTTGTCCTGGGCAGGGACACCTCCCACCAGCCCAGGTGAAGGTCCCCCAGCTGGATAGAAGCGTATTTATACCACCGAAAGGGGAAAAAAAATATCTCCCACGAGGGGAAGGGAAACCCAGCAGCAGAAGGAGAGACAGGGAACGGTGTTGCCACCTCCTCCTGCTCCGCCGTTTCTGGCCACACGGTCCTGCACACCTCCAGCCACGCTCCTCAAACCTCAAGTCCTCATCCTAAAATGCTTCGGGAACCACGGTTTGCTTTAGATGACGAACCGGAGCCAATTCTTTCCCCTTTTCTCCACCAGGAGGTGAGGTGTTTAGCATCACTGTGTCCGAAACGTGAAAGTTGGCACTTTCCGCTCCGGTGAGACCCCACCTGGAATATTGTGTCCAGCTCGGGGGGTGCCAAAATCAGAAGGATATGGAGCTGTTGGAGCGGGGACGGAGGAGGCCCCGGAGATGCTGGGAG